GCTGCCGCGCGCGGCGCCTGCAGGCAGCGGCCCTTGTCTCAGGTGAAACGGAGGACCAGGGCGAACCAGGCAAGCCAGGCCTGCTGCTCCTCGTGTGAACGGGCCCATCTGCTGCTCAAGATGCCTGCTTGAGATGCCCGGACATGACTGCTGCAGATTGAGGACCCACTCTAGACGCCCCGACGCGCTGTGAGTGGACCACGACCAAGAACTGCGTCTGGACTCGCGCCTCTTCCGAGGGCCAAGGAGAAAGAGAAACGGTCGCACCAGCCACAGACGCCTCGGATTACCTCATCAACAGCCGGTCTCCAGCCACACACACGTTGGGTGCTTCCTCATCAACCCTCGTTCAGTTCTTCACGTTTCGCATCCTGACCGCCATCCCCTGCTTTTCCATTTTAACCTCCTGTCACCAAAAGCTTGGCCTCTTCTCGTCTGAACCCTGGCTTGTCCGGCTCGTCAATTTCAATTGTCCACGTCGCTGCGCCCATTGGACCGTTGGCGCATGCCCATGATGATATGGACCCCTGACCAGCAAGATGCAGCCAACGTCTGTGAATTTCAATCGGTCGATCGTACTTAATCAAAAACATTCATACCCCCCCACGATCCGTCGACATCTGCCGAACGAACAACCAAATACCAAAAAAAAAAGACGACTTCAACGCCCACGAGAGACAGCGAGAGCGAAAACACCATCACCAACACAAATACCGGGCCACCGCCAGCGTCCGGCCCGCCCGCGAAACATCGTCACACAGCTGGGTCCGTTGGTGCGACCTGTTTCGGGATCCCGGTGCCGCCTCGCGAACTGCTCTCATCGCGGCTCCTGCTCCCACCTTCCGGCCTTCTGAGCGCTACAGCCAACCCTGACGATAGCGATAGTCGTCGCATTAAGGTGGCAGTACCGTCACCTGCCGGCGGCCCTCTGCACAGTTGCAACCGTTGCATTCTCGGTGCCTCACGGATCTACAATGACGCGGCCAGCAAGGGGAACTGGCTGTCACGGCAAGCGCCGGTGACACTGTCACTTGTCAACTTGAACGAGAACGGAGTTTGTTGAAGCTTCGTTAATTCATTCTGACTGACTGACCGCCAGGGGCTTATTCGCTAAAAAAATGCAGTCCCATCTCACGCTACCCAAACATTCGCCAAACACCGGCACCAAGCCACAATCCTGCGACATACGCAATCGCCCTATCTCCCCGGAATGAACGCCAAACCCTTTGCCGCCTTTGAGCTTCCTTCATCACCTCCTCCAATCATGCCGTTGTTTGCGCCGAGACTTGCGGCAGCTTGCTCTTGAACCACAGCATGGCCTCTGTGAAGGCCAGGTAGATTCCCGTGAGGCACCAGCAAATCATGACAACGGAGAACCCGCCGGCCAGCTTGGCGTCCACTATCCTTCCAACGAGGACGTCTCGGAGGGCGCTGTTCATGAGTAGCCAACTGTACATTGGAATCAGCTGGCTAATTGCGTTGGACGCCGAACACTGGTGGACAAGTTGAGCCCGCTCCCGCTCCCGCTCCTGGATCGTGTCCGCCATCCGCCATGCCACCTGGTTGTTGATCTTGTCCCAGGACGCCTGGCAGGCCACGTCCCGCGCCTGTGTGGCCATGTTCTGACGGCAGTCCCTATCTTTGGCGAGGTACATGACCTTATCGACGAAGCCGTCGAGGTCGTCGGGAGGCACGAGGTATCCGCAGCGACCGTGTTGGATGATATCACTCGGACCGCCCTCGTCTCTGGCCACGACCGGCACACCCGATGCCATGGACTCAAGGACGACGAGGCCGAACGTCTCGGTAACGGAGCAGTGGAGGAAGATGTCGCCGGAGGCGTAGGCGGTGGCGAGGTCGTCGCCGGTCTTGAACCCGGCGAAGATGACCTTGCCCTGCTCCCGCAGCGGGTCGAACATCTCGTGCACCTCGCGCTCGACGTCGGGGTTGCGGTTGCCGCCAACAACATACAGCTTGAACGCCAGACCGCGGGCGTCTAGCTCTTTGACGGTCTTGGCCAGGAAGCCGAACCCCTTTTCGCCGGCCACTCTGGATACGCAGATGAGAATGATCTCCCCATTGGGCGCAATCCCCCTGCGCAGGGCCTCGCTCCGCATCTCCGGCCGGAAGAGCTCCGTGTTGACGCCGCGTTGCAGGAGCTCCATCTTGGAGGCCTGCACGCCCTGGGCCTCGAGATATCTCTGCACGAAGCGCGAGGGGTAGAAAACGGTCTTGATGGACTCGTGCCTGAACAGGAACGACTGAACCATAGAGAAGGCGAAGACGGCAAACGTGCTGAACGGGTGGGGGAAGAGGATGGCGCAGTAGCCAGCCAGGTCGGTCTGAAAGTTGCAGATGACGGGCACACGCTTCTCCCTCGGCTGTTGCTGGAGCTGCAGCATCACCTGGAAGCCCAGCGATGCGGGCGAGGCCAGGTATATCAGGTCGGGCGGGGTGTCTGAGCCGAAGGTCCGCGAGAAGAGGGCGGAGACGCGAACGGGGTAGACGACGGAGAGCTCGGGGTTGAAGGGCAGCGGGTAGCCCTGGAGGCGGACCTCAAGCTGAGTGTCTGCTGTTGTTACTGTTGGTGAAAATGTGTTGTGCTTGGTGTGGTTGTGCGGCGCGACGACGGCGACGAGTGCGCCCTGGGAGCGCAGGTGCTCGACGAGCATCAGGGTTGTCCTGCTGACGCCGTTGACGGGGCCGAAGGACTCTGTGCAGAGCAAGATGCGCTTCCCGCGTAACGACGGCGGGAAGACGGCGTTATCGTGATGCGGGTATCGTGGCATGATGCCGTGAGCTTGGGGGAGAAGGGGTTGTCGTTCCATGACGGCCGGTGAGAGCGCATACACTCTTGCAAAAGTCAGTCTCGGGGTGTGAGCTTCAATCTACTCTGAATGCTTACCAGAAGTTGTCTCAAGCCTTTCCCGCTAAAGATTTCAAGCCGCAAAGCTCCTGAAGGGTTCTCGTGAAGAATTCGAAAGGGTTCACACAGTTTGGAGGCAGAACATGAATCGAGCTCCAAAAACGCGACGGCCACACGCCTCGGGCGTTTGGCTCCATGATATCTGCGCAACGAGACATGACAAGCAGCAAAAGGCTAGATTGCAATTGCCATGACTTGGGAAGAGTCCCCGTGATGTGCGGTGTCGGAGGGGCGCCACGAGGTTCGCAGATTTGCATTCCGCATTCCTCGACGGCGCACCTCAGCCTGTAAATGCAGCTCCTCAGGCCACATGGGGAGCTTCGATGGCCTGCAGTGACGCTGCTGCAGTGGTGGGGGCGGGGCACTCGCTGCGAGCAGCGCTGTCTTAGCGTGTCCAAGGTTGTGTCTGCAGGGTCCAGAAGCCAATTCCGGGCTGCAAGGTATCTGAGTTGAGTGATGAAAGCGGCCATCGATCATGACGAGCAACCAACCAACCAACCAACCAATCTTTGTACACGCTTCACGCTGCCATGGACTTGATTTGCATTTCCTATTATCGATATATGGCGTTTCTATTCGTGTCGATTGCCACTTTCACGTGGAACTGGCTCTTCACTCTGCCCACTGGTTGACAGAACGGTACATACATCAACATCTTCTCCCATCAGCATCATCATGTCGGGATATGTCGCCTTCTCGCGATCTCAGGCGTAACCAAAAAGAGTCATGCATTCGATGAAGCACGACAAATTCCCGCATCACGTTTCCCTCCATGCCCCCAAGTTTCCTCTGCATAAGTCACACGAAGAGAGAAAAACAGAGACCGGGAACACCCACGATGCCCAGGTTAGCAGCCAATGAGAGCGGCGGAAGCCGGCACATTGCGACTCCGCTGGACGAGAGCCAATCGATAAGACGACGGCCGCACATGAACCTCACAATGGCAAACGAACAAAACTGCGTTTTGTGCCGCATGACCTGGTGGTTTACGATCACCTACAGAGCGATAGGGGAAGCACGAATGGCGGCCCGCATCTGGATGCCCGTGGTCTCGCCGGTTGGGTACCGTTCGTTGAAGTGGCCCCGGCTATCTACAAGATCGAGAGGCGGACGTCGGGTTTTTGAGTTGAATGCTTGACTGCGAATCATCACGAGCATGGGTGCTTATACCGAGACCCATGTGTTGGAGGGGTAGCGCAGTGAGGGGCAATGTGACGGCAAAAGATACCGATTCTGACCGAAGACTGCTCACAGGGTGTGGTAGAGTATGATCTTATTGAGTGTCGTCGCGAAGGGCGGCTGCGCTGCGATTCTGTTGTCGGCATTATGGCCTCTTGATAACGCCAGTTGAGAGGTGTGACATCTACACAGGCGTCACATTGGCATCAAATATCAACCTGAAACCCGCCTCCTGTTGTGAACCACCGCGCTGAGCAGCTTCACCTCGCTCCAAGAACGCTCAGACAAGCATCACCACCTAACGCGTCCTCACCGCGATCCGCTCAAGAGCAACGTCATCGTCACGATACAGCAATTTAACAGCTTCTCCAACAACTCTACAAGCCTGCTTTACTCTTTACCTTCCTGACTCGACTCTCAAAAGGCGCTGCCCTAAATACTGACACTCTGCCCTCTCCCCATTCCCTCGCCGCGATATCCGAAGCTTCAACGTCAGAACACGGCAAACTCCCCCAATACCAAGAGAGTCCAATAGTGCTTGTTCATGCGCTTGCTTGGTGGTTTTACGCGCGTCAAGCTACCCATAATCTGCACTTGTCCCACGTTTATCATCATCGGACGGACCAAAAGCCACGTCAGATCGCTCACCTACGAGAACCAGTTCGTTGCCGCACGGCCGTTGTCCAACGTCGACCTTTCCCGAAGCGGTTGGTGAAACGAACACCCTCATATCGGACGGTTTGATTGAAGCCCATCATCGTCGAGACCGTTTGCTCTACGTTGGGGCATTTCTTCAGTCCGCTTGGGTAGAAAAGGGATTGGCTTTCCTTGAACCTTTTTGGTTTCTTGAGTTTGAGTTGCGCTTTACTGGACGGCAGCACCAAAGGCTTTCACGATGATGGCGGAAGGTTATGTCACGTTTGCCTCGGTGGATGAAGCGGCGGACGAGAGCGCTGGATTCCGCGAACCTTCGACGGTGCCCACGACTCCGGACGGGAGCTGCACGTTTAGCCCCGTGCTCAGGTACGCACACGACCAGACGACGATGAAAGCGTCGACGGGGAGAGGTTTACCGCGTTGGAGAACAAAGGAATCGAAGGAAGACCCGGTCTGGGCAGCACCACACAGAACCCCGTCCGCAACATCTGCTGCGTGGGAGCGGGATACGTCGGTGAGACTCCCTCAAAACCTTCACGAGCCTCAGTCATCACTAACATCTTTCTCAGGCGGACCAACAGCCGCAGTCATCGCGTTCCAAAACCCGCACATCCGCGTCACCGTCGTCGACCGCGACGAACGGCGCATCCGCCGGTGGAACTCCAAACACCCGCCCATCTACGAGCCCGGCCTGCGGGACATTGTGCGAGTCGCCAGGGACGGCGCGAGGGAATGCGCCTTTCCCACCGAGCCCACTGCCAAGAACACCAGCACCACCGCCGCCTCGTCAGCGACGTCCGAGTGCGGGAGCCAATGCGGCGGCGACGATGGCCCCTGGACCGCCGTCCCCTCGCGCGCGCCGAACCTCTTCTTCTCGACGCGCGTCTCAGAGTGCATAGCGCAGGCGGACATCATCCTCGTGGCCGTGAACACGCCCACCAAGACGCGCGGCCATGGCGCCGGCAGCGCGACGGACATGACGGCGTTCGAGGCCGTCACCGCCGAGGTCGCGCGGCACGCGAGACCGGGCGCGATCGTGGTTGAGAAGTCGACCGTGCCATGCCGCACCGCGCACCTGGTCCGCGAGACGCTCGCCGTCCACCGCCCCGGGGTGCACTTTGAGATCCTCTCGAATCCGGAGTTCCTCGCGGCCGGGACCGCCGTGAACGACCTCCTCCGGCCGGACCGCGTACTCATCGGCTCCGAGACGACGCCCTCGGGCAAGTGCGCGGCGGCGGCGTTGGCGGGCGTCTACGCTGCCTGGGTGCCGCGCGCGCGCATCCTGACGACGAACGTGTGGTCGTCCGAGCTGGCGAAGCTCGTGGCGAACTCGATGCTCGCGCAGCGGATCAGCAGCATCAACTCCATCAGCGCCATCTGCGAGCGCACTGGCGCGGACGTGGACGAAGTCGCGCGCTCGGTGGGTTGCGACCCGCGCATCGGCGACCGCTTCCTCAAGGCGGGCATCGGGTTCGGGGGCAGCTGCTTCAAGAAGGACATCCTGAGCCTGGTGTACCTCGCCGAGAGTTTGGATTTGGACGAGGTCGCGGAGTACTGGCTGCAGGTGGTCAAGATGAACGAGTACGCGCGGGAGCGGTTCACGCGGCGGGTGGTCAAGTGTCTGAACAACACGCTGGCGGGGAAGAAGATCACGGTGCTGGGGTACGCGTTCAAGAAGAACACGAGCGACACGCGGGAGGCGCCGGCGCTGGAGATCATACGGGCGCTGCTGGAGGAGGGGCCAAGGGAGATTGCGGTGTATGACCCCTGCTGCAACCCGCTGGTCATCAAGGAGGAGATCGGGCAGTTGTGCGGGGAGCTGAAGCCGCTCAGGGAGGACGGCGGGCCGTTGGCTATCTACGGGGATGCGTATGAGGCGTGCGAGGGGAGTATGGCGGTGCTCATCACGACGGAGTTTGACGAGTTCCGGAACAAGGCGCCGGCGCCGGCCCCGACGACCAACGTCCAGCAGCAGCAGCGGCGGGTCGACGTTGACCCGCGGCCGTTCCAGAGCCTCGAGGTCGCGCAGTCCGACGTGCTGGCGCTGCACAGGTTCCTCAGCCGGCGGCAGTCTTCAGACGACCCGCTGGGGCGTTACGAAGCTGAGCCTGAGTGTGCGTCCGACTGCCCGGATTGTGAGGCGGAAGCGGCCAGCGAGGTATCGGGGTTTGCCACGGGGATGGGCACGACGGAGGAGTACAGGACCAAGGAGAAGGTGGACTGGGCCAGGGTGGCGAGGGACATGCAGATCCCGAGATGGGTGTTTGACGGGCGGGGAGTGATTGATGCCGGGGAGATGGCGAAGCTGGGCGTGAGGGTGGAGAGTGTTGGACGGCAGGGACGATCGTGGAGTTGATCGCGCTCTGTGATCGTGAATCTGGGGCATTTTTGTGTTCTCTTCTCGTCATTTTCTCATCATATATCATCGTCGTGCGGGATAATGGGCCACTCTGGAGCCGGTGGCGGAGGAGACGGGACGGACTTAGGATCGTAGAGTTTAGAGACAATTTTCACGAACAGGAACTTGAGTCGAGACACGAAAGCCACGCCAACCAGCGACCAACATGAAAGTGTGAGAGAGTGCCGGGGGCGGAAGTCGCCGCCGGCACATGGCGACTTGCATCCGCAGTCTGATGCATGCGGTGCATCCATCTTCTGCACACAATTCATCCCGTCCCCTGGTACCTGTTTCACGCTACCGCGACAGACTTCTCCGACCAAACGAAGGAACCAGTCATATCCGGGCTCCAGGTTCGTCTGAGGATGTGACCAGTTGGAATTGAGACCTCGAGGGGAGGGAAGAGGGAGGGAGGGTTAATATGTGTAGGGCTAGGCGGATCGGTGGCGGCGGCGTTGATCAGTGTTTGAAGATCCAAGATGGAGGCATGTTCGGGATCATCACCGGCGTTGGTCGACGTTGAAGTAGGAACCGGAGAATTAACACAACACACATATGACTCCTTCGTGGATTTTCTCCCCAGAATAAGATCGTTTCGCCCCATAGGAACAACCCAAAATCCTCCGCATATTTCGTCATCGCGGCAGGGACCCCGGAACGCCGCATGCAGCAGTCAAGCAATGCATCAACCACCATCTCCACCTGCTATTAGCCGTTGAGACAGAACAGCGACCGTTGTTCTCTCGCGTCAACCCAGTGCCGATGCCAATCATGGGGACCCCCTCCGTCTGGAGAGACTGTGGGCCAACGGTCGCGATGCAATGCGATTGGGGAGAGTCGGGGATCAGCGTTTGGTCTGTTCGCGCCGTTTCACGTCGCATTCAGCCAGCTGCCCGGCGACGCTAAGCCTCAGATTGTTTAAAGTGTGTGTGGGATCGTGGTATGTAGTATGCGGTATGAGTAGTAAGGTAGGCAGGGAGTAGTAGCCTTTACCGTCCAGCCGGCCAGGAACCCAGAACCGACCGATGGTGGTTTTAGTGTTGTTGGCTCCCCCCCTTTCCGAGACGTGTAAGACGAATCGTTCGAACCGAATGTGGTATCTGGCTGTAAGGATGGGCTGGCTTACCCGTGCTTCCGAGCTGGGAGGGTTTTGGCCAGAAGTGACAGGCAGTGTCTGTGTGTTTCTGGCGCCCCCAATGGCGACTTGCCTCACACCTCCATCGCGCATTTGCTAAGCACAGTTTGGGGAGGCGAGAGGAGGTTTGGCTTTCCGTCCAACCTTTTAGCGTTCAAGGGGAGACTTCGTTTCATCTGCTCTGCCGTGCGGCGGGAGGACATGCAGCCCTGGGGCATGAGGACATGAGAGAGAGGGACAGCATGAAGGAGGGAGCAAGAGGCTGGAGAGCTGTCTGATATAGGTCTCGTCTTGGTGTATGTCGTCTTTTCGTCGGGCACAGCGACCTCTTCCTCCTTTGGACCAGACGATGAGCGGATGATAATTCTGTTTTCCACGACGACGGTTTGTTGACATTGGGCGATCGATACATTCTAGACCGAGTCCCTGGGGCGACTTGGACATCACATCGCCGAGTAATCTCACTAATACCACCTTGTCGGCCTGTTGGAACTTGTGTCTTTGGGAAGAGCAGAGAGAATGAGGGGAACAGACGCCTCAGTGCTGGTCCTCACGGGCCTAGCCGCCCTGGCCGGGGCGAAGGAGCTCCAGATCGACGACGTGCCGGTGGAATGCGCGACGATATGCGGGCCCATCGTCGAGCTGACCTTCAAGTGCGACGTCGACAACTCCTTCGACGAGCTGCGGCGGCTGAAGCGGCGGAAGGTCGACGGCCCCGAGGCGCAGAGGATACCGCCGCACGCGAAAGGGGGCGTGGCACGACGACACCACCACCGCAACAGGCCGCCCGCGCAGAACGAGGCCGATGTCGCGGTGGCCACGCCGACGCAGCCGCAGGACGCGGCTCCGTCGGTTGGGGATGCGCAGGGTGTGCAGCAGCCGGCGCAAGACGCCCAGCCGCCTGCGCAGGAGGCGTCGCCGGTGTTCATCGCGACGCTGCCGTTTGCTGCGCCGGCGCCGGATCCGCAGCTTTCGACGCCTAATCCGCCACCGGAGGCCGCGCAGACGACGCCGTCGGTGGAGGTTACGCCGCAGGTGACGCCTACGCCGTCTTCAGATCCGCCGCAGGCCTCGTCGACGTCTTCTTCGACCCCGGCGGCGCCTCCGCCGCCTCCTCCTCCGCCGCCGATGATACCTCCCCCGGCACCAGCTCCGCCACCGCCGCCCCCGAAAGTGACGCAGCCGTTGATCGTGCCGGTCTTCGTACAGCCGACATCGACTGTCTTCCTGACGGTACCGGCTCCGTCACTACCCCCTATCCCACAAGTGACCATCCCGGCACCCCTCCTCCCCTCGATACCCCCGATATCCATCCCACCTCTCGTGGTAGCTCCTCCTCCCCAGCAACCACGGCCACAGCAACCTCCTCCAGTGCAGCAGCCACCTCCGGCCCAGGCACCGCAGGTACCGGCGCCGCAGCAGTCGACACCCTCGACGTCGATGAGCATGCCGTCAGCGATGCCCGTCGCTGGCGAGCCGGGCAAGAAGGAGCCCCAGCCGAACCCGGAGACGGACAAGGACACGGCCGAGAAGAACTGCATCTGCGGGAACAAGAGCTTCGACGTGAACCTGTTGGCGGGGATGTGCCAGAGCTGCATAAAGCGTTCGGGGAACCGGGCGAATGGTGGGTTATCTTTCTACCTCATGATGGGGGTTTCCCCAGATGCGATGAAAGTGGAACTAACGGGCTGTAGACATGGACTTCATCATGAACCAGTGCAACTTCACCCAGGCGACGTACACCCCCGACAAGGACAATCTGGCGTATAACGTCCGTGTTGTCGCGCAGAAACCATTACTCTCGCATAGTGCCAATGCCATGGGCGACGCGCCCAGGATCGGAGCTGCCTCCGCGTTGGCGGCTATTGGTGTTAGTTTTGTGGCAGGGATGGCTCTGTTGCTGTAAGCTTACAAAGAAGGTTTGGCGGAGGTAATGAACTGGTGAAACGCGGAATGTAATGGGAGGAAGTAATAATAGCCGGTGGACACGTCGAGGTAATAATGAGAGGGAAGAGGGAACTGGATGATTTAGCGGCAGGGCGGCGAAACGGAGTAGAAAAATCTAGATGATGTTTCTAGATGTTTTGTTTTTGAGTCTCAGGTGGACTGTTTTAGTTAATCCGGTAGATGACTACCAATTATTCATCTAACTGTCCCATGACTTCATTTTCAACCTAACATGTGCACGCCATCATCTCTTACCTACGCTTTGGTCGTTGCTGTCACTTGTAATCGCTCCGGATGTATAACAGACCTTCAAAGCGCATGATTGGGTGAGTGGGGAACCGGAAAGTAGAGCATAAAAGTGTTCATAGACATCTTGTTTTATTACTGGGAATCTATCGCCGCAATCAAGCTGGCCCTTTTATGGTTCCATCCCCTAACATGGTATAATATGCACAAAACTCTGAAATCATTAACTCGTCATTCTCTTGAGCGTTTCTCGGTTTAGATGCGCTCAACCCAGGCATCAGTGTTCTTCTTCTCCTCCACGACAACGGTGCCATCGACGTCTCTCTCAACAGGGGGGTAGTCGGCCTCCTTGACGCGCATGACGTGGCGGCCGTGGCGCACCCAGTGCATGGTGACGTATCCCAGGACGTAGACGAAGCCGACGAGGGGCACGACGTACGAGATGCGCGTGCTGGAGTGGTCGGCGATGGCGGCCTGGATGGGCGGGAAGACGGCACCTCCAGCAACACCCTGGACCATGATACCGGCGGCGCGGCGGGTGTGGCGGCCGAGGTTGGCCGTGCCGAGGGTGAAGAGGGTCGGGTACATGGGGGCCTCGAAGAAGAAGATGACGATGAGGACGGCGACGGCGGAGGTACCGCGGCCGACGCAGCAGTACGCGGTCAGGGCGATGGCGCAGACGGTGTAGATGATCATGAGGAAGTCCGACTGGAAGACGGTGGCGAGGGCGGTGGCGATGAAGCGGCCGACGGTGAAGGTGATGAGGGCGTAGGACAGCATGTTGGCGGCCTGGGAGTCGGTGAAGCCGCCGTTCTCGTGGGCGTAGTTGATGAAGAGGGTGGCGATGGAGACCTGGCAGCCGACGTAGCAGAACTGCGCGAGGAAGGCGAAGATGAGGTTGTACTGCTTGTAGATGGGGCCCTGGCCGACGTCCAGGCCGGGCATGGCGTCGGCGGACGGGCCGGAGTCCTCGATGGTCTGCTCCGAGACCTCGGGGAGGCGGGCGAAGAAGAAGAGCACGGCGACGGCGGCGCCGGCGCAGGAGACGGCGAGGTAGACGTACTGGACGTTGGTCAGGGAGTTTGCGTTGGCGCCGGAGAAGAAGAACTTGGAGGCGATGAGCGGGCCGATGAAGGAGGCGACGCCGTTCCAGGACTGGCAGAACTGCAGGCGGGCGGAGGCGGACTCGGGCTTGCCGATGACGACGGCGTACGAGTTGGCGGCGGTCTCGAGGGTCGCGAGGCCGCAGGCGATGACGAGGGTGCAGGCGCAGAAGCCGCCGAAGACGGCGCGGGTGTTTGTGGTCTGCGTGGAGGCGTGGGCGACCGGCCAGAAGAGGATGGCGCCGAGGGAGTAGAGGCCGAGGCCCATGAGGATGGTCTGCTTGTAGCCGCGGCGCTTGAGGCACTCGGCCGCGATGGGGGAGAAAAGGAGGTAGCCGCCGCCGAAGTACATGACCTGCAGGCCCGTGGACTCGAGCTTGGAGATGCCGAGGACGGTCTGGAAGTGCTTGTTGAGGACATCGAGGAGGCCGTAGGAGAAGCCCCAGAGGAAGAAGAGGGAGATGATGAGGGAGAGAGGGAAGATGAGGGCGCGGCCGGTGAGGTAGCCGCCGGCCAGCGCGGGAGCG